TGCAGTAGCGGCGGCTCGACATTGGGACGTCCATCAAATGGACGTCCATAATGCTTTTCTACATGGTGATCTTCATGAAGAGGTATATATGAAACCTCCTCCGGGATTTACGGTTCCACATAAGAATATCGTGTGTCGTCTACGAAAATCGCTTTATGGGCTTAAACAGGCCGATGTTGGTTCGCCAAGCTCACCGAAGCACTCACCATGTATGGCTTTGTTCAGACAGAATCCGATCACTCATTGTTCGTTCTTTACCGCGACATGACTAGACTTCATGTCCTCGTCTATGTCGACGATCTGTTACTCACAGGAAATTCCACGCAAGCTCTTCTTCAATTCAAGACATATCTCAGTCGGTGTTTCAAGATGAAGGATCTCGAGCTCTAAAATATTTTCTTGGCATCGAGGTAGCTCGAAAATCTTCGGGATTTTACCTATGCCAGAGAAAATACACGCTTGATCTCATTGCTGAAACGAGATTATTGGCTGCAAAACCGGCTCTGTTTCCGCTTGAACAGAATCATCATCTGAGCATTTCGAAGAGCAGGATTCTGGCAGACCCAGAACCTTACCGACGACTTGTTGGGAAGCTCCTTTACCTTCTGGCCACACACCCCGATATAACCTATGCTGTCCATGTGTTGTCTCAATTTATGCAAAACCCGCGTGCAGAACATTGGCTGGCACCTCTGCACGTTGTTCGGTACCTGAAACTTAATCCAGGTCAAGGGATTTTTCTACGATCTGACTCTGATTTGAGACTTTACGCATGGTGTGATTCTGATTGGGCCGGCGACCCTCTTTCACGTCGTTCTCTCTCCGGCTACATTATACATCTAGGAACTTCCCCCATTTCTTGGCGTTCAAAACGACAAGCTACCGTGGCTCTCTCTTCAGCTGAGGCCGAGTATCGCGCCATGACAGTGTCTACTTTGCGAGTTACTATGGCTAAAGGGGTTGCTAACTGCTCTTGGTATACAGCATACAGATACCACGCTTCTGCATTGCGACAGTCAAGCTGCATTATATATAGCCGCAAATGACGTTTTTCATGATCAGACAAAACATATAGAAGTTATCTGTCATTTTCTACGTCATCATATTAAGATAGGCCAGATTTCTACCCGCCATGTTTCATCCTCAACGCAACTTGCGGATATATTTACGAAAGCACTCGGAAAGAAGGAATTTACATTTTTTCTCTCCAAGTTGGGCATACAAAATTTGTATGCTCCAATTTGAGGGGGGTATTATGACGATACGGGATCTGATGAAGATTGTCGAAGATTGCTATTCAAAAATATGGCAACAATATACTGTTTGTTCCTATATATCAGCATTGACAAATCATGTTTCTATTTTTTGATAGGTTTAGGTTATGTGTTCTGTTTTGTATATAAACCTGTAAAGATTATGAATGAAAATGCAGCTGTTTTCTGTAAACCTCTTGAGTTCAGATTGATACGTATCAGCTTCCTTCACGTTTTTTTATTTAAGTTTCTTTTCAATTGTTTATAATGTATTTATTCTCTATTTACTCTTAACCATAACCGTTTGTATACGTTTTTTTTACCTTAACTTCCTTCTCAATTGTTTATAACACATGTCTTTATTTAATCCTTGCCATAGCCGTTTCTTTTTTAAAGTAATAAACTCTATAATGAATTTGTCCATTTATTCCAAAACATAGTTATAACGAGAATTTTAAGGAATAATAAAATTTTTAAAACTTGTCACATGGATGATGATATGGAGATGAGGTGGCTTCACCATATGCCTTTAAACTTCTTTATTAATATATATAGATGGATGATGATATAGAGATGAGGTGGCTTCACCATATGCCTTTAAACTTTTTTATTAATATATATAGATTCGAGTAAATTTAATTTGATTTTATTTTAGATATTCAAACCAAACTCCAAATTACCATAATTATTTAATACTTACAGAAAAATAATTGTGCTAATGCAAAAGGAGAAAAGGAATAACCCCACTAACTTCATCAATGGAAGTGACGACTGACGAGTATATATGCCATGGAAGAGTGGGTCCACTTTGTGGTTAAATTCTTGTATGTTGTAACTACGTGTGGGCACGCGTCGGGTACCACGTTTTTTAGGAAACCCGATCTCGGTCTCATCATCACGGGTTTTATGAAAAAATTATCTCATTCTTGGTTTCATAAGATCCGAGTACCCCTAACCCGGATTCAATGAGATTCTCACTCTCGTATTCAGGGTACCCGAATCTCATAAATAAATAATTCAAATATTCTATAATTTATAAAATTCAATAAAAATAACTTAAACAACATTTCTTATAAATTATAAATTCGATTTCATAAATTATAAAGATTGAGAATATAGAAAATAATTAAATAAAATAAAAATATTTTAATAAATAATAAAATACCTTATATAAATGTTATAAATATAAAGATATTTTTAAAAAGATAGAGAATGTTTTAGCCATTTTAATCATTTTCTTGGTATTCTTGGTAAGTTGAGCAACATATGCTATGGTCAATGGATGCATCCATATTTATGGAACTCCCCAATCATGAATCATGATACTCTAATAAAAAATTTATCTTTATTTCACCAATAATTTATTTAATAAATAATGCTATTGTATTTTCATTACAAGTGAATTGTCAATTTATTTTGCATATATTTTTAGAAAATTTAACCCAATCAGAAATATTTCCAATTAATATTTGGAAATAATCAAATGAAGCTGTTTATTTCTCTTTCATAAAACTATTCGTATATGCAGAAAATAATTTTTTTTTGTCAAATATGCAGAAAATAAATGATTATTTCATAATGGTTTTAGTCATCTCTACCCAAAAAACGAGGTTGGAGATATAAAACTTCACCTTTTAAACGATTTTTTTTGTATATATATACCTCCTAATATCATATAAAATAAAATAGGTTAGATTCTCCTCACATACTAATAATCTGATGTCATCTTTAATATCTCACCACAGATATATAACATTTTTTTTATTCACACTCGCTTAATGGATTTTTGATCCAACTCCATCCACTACTACAATTAAATTATATCTTTCTCCCCAATTCTTTATGAACAATTGTCTAAAAGTTATTTACACTGATATGGATTATACACACATGAGTGTATTACAATAAATTAGATAAAAGAAGTATCTAGTCCCGGAATCAGATGAAGTTGTAACATTTCAAATATATTATTCTTTTATTTCTCACAATTTTAATGCTACCATTTTTTGGATAAATTATGTAAAATATATGTCTAATGTCATCTCTTCCTCTTTTGGACAAAATTTCTAAGAATCAAATTTTTACTGGACATTTTATTTATTTCTTATAATTTATTTTATCATGAATAGTTTAATTGTTGTAAAAGACTAAAAGTAGATAAATTAGGTATCTATCTATCTGACCAAAAAGTGTAAGGCGTTAAATGGCTCATCACAAACGACATGTTATCAACATTTTAACACGGGCGGGTAACCGGACACCGTTTCTTTTCGTTAATTTCTCTCCTAACAGATGCAAAAAACTAAACAACGCTTGTACCGGTTCCCGGTTTGTTTAAACCATAACACCAACACGTCATCATGGACCCCACAGCAATCTGTCTGAGGGACTTGATACCGTAACATGCTCGTTACGTCACAGCTTCTGCCGTTTTTCCTTCCATTTTCTCCGCTATTTGCTGCAGCTCGTTTGTCACCGGGAATATCGGTAACGGCACGTGACGGGAATATAATAACCAATAAGATAAGGGGAATACGGATTTTATGCCGTATTCGAAACCTACTATTATATTTGTCTACATTTCTTGGCATTACAGTTATTTTATAAAAAATTTGAGGGTATTAATGAAATTTCTCTGTAAAAAAAGGTTTAGTTTATAAATATATAAAATATATAGTTTTTTATTCTCTCTTCAAAAAAGATATAGCGACAATTCCAAAAAAAAAGGAGATAAAAGATATGTAAAAAAGTGGAAAATAATATAATACCAACAACATAAGAATAAATATATTTTATTTTAAATTTACAATAGCAACGCTGGAGCAAAAACGAGATTTTAACACACACTTATTATATGTTTATTTCTTCGACAAATAAGACTTAGCATACTCATCTTATTGCAAAAGCTGTTTACTATAATATCATTAATACTCATGTCACGGATAAATTTGACCAAATTGTTGTAAACATTTTAGATAGTTTTAGATTACATTAAAAATTTAAAACTGTACCCCAGGTGAGTTGGTTAAAGAGCACGGAGAAACCATGAGATCGAGAGTTCGACTCTTTACCGTCTCTTTAACTCTCATCTATCGCTTATCAGTTACGGTTAATTTAGTTCTTACGTATGCTGTAGACTCGTATACGTGGAATTGGAGTTTTCTTTGGTCTACGATCTGTACTAATGTCATCTTCGTCCGGTCTATTAGAATGTGAGGCGTTACGATGTTCGGTATTCGGTCTAAAGCGTGCATTGTTGTAGGACAAGTTCCCAATGTATCAAAATAAATTTACACTGTATTATGAAAAAGAGATTCTTAGGCTATATTAAAGAGAAAAAAGAGCCGACAAAAGCTTTTTTTTTTTTATTATTCTCTTCTCTTCCTTGAAGTCTCTTTTTACCTTTTTTCTCAAAAATTATGTATCGTAAAATGAAAAATATTACAATTTATAAATGTCTTTATTGAAAATCAAGGAGTTAGAGAAACACAAATCCCATTGTCGACGAAAAATGCAATCAAAATGCCAAAGTGATAAAAAATGTGGAATCAAAATTTTTTATATCTATATATAGAAGATAAAAACTTAATAAATGTGGTATTTAATTTCATAAAAATATTGGGTTTGGCCTTGTAATATTTATATTTTATGATAAACAAATAATATCTTATGTCTCGACAAAGAAAATTAATATCTTCTTTATGTAACTATAAACTGGTCTCTTTGAGTCTCCCACTTGATCCGCTCTTCTCATTTTCCTCCTCCATTTTTTCCCGAGAAAATCGCCTTCACGGGAAATCACAGGGAAAAAAAAACTTGCGTTATTTGAGAAATCTTTTCGGTGCTTCGTTTTAGACTGTTCCTGGAGACCGTAATCGTGCAATGGCATGCTTATGAACCTCTGATTTACTCAGTTTGGTCGCCGCAAAAATCAGGTAGGAAAGGAGTCCCGCAATTTTTCCATTGTTTTGGAAATTTTTGTGGTTCTGTCGTACGAATCTGAGGCACTATGTTGATGTGAGTTGGGAAATGGTTTTCCTGCGTTTTCTCGGAGTCCAAACAGAAAAATTTCCTAGATATTCGATCGCAGTTCATGTAAGGATAGTTTTCTCCGTAATCTGATGATTTTCCGTCCGAAAATTTTTGTTTTCTCGGTGTAAATCGAAACTTGCTGTAAACCAATTGGAGCTCTCCTTTTCGTTCTTCGTATTGCCAGTTTTCGTGCTTGTGTTCAGTCGTGAATAGTTTAAGCCAGATTCCGAAGGCAGAATCTCTGAGATCTTAAGTTTTTTGTTACTTTTAATTAATTGTTGTAATGCGGAAAATGGACGATCCTGTTGTTCGATCTGATACCCCGACGAGAATGATGTTAGCGGACATGAAGAACGTAGGCAACACGAAGACACGAAGCACTCAGACTCAGCTAGACAAGAAGAGGACGTTGAACACATGCACATGCAATCGGAGGAACAAAAAGGAAAGAAGCCAATCAACCCAAGATAAGGAAAGAAGCAAATATGACATACTAATCTTCCTTATATCAAGCAAGAATATCATGTTTCCATATTGTAAAATTGTATAGCCGTTTAGCATGATTATAGTCTATATAATCTAGGTCAACATGTATATACAGAAGATAGAGAATAAACTATGTGTGGTGTTCTTCCACTTTGAAACATAATTTCCTCTCTTCTCTCGGTCATTTCTCTATAATCCTTTGTTGGGAATTTTTGTTTTCTTTATGGTATCAGAGCGGAAAGATCATTGATCCCGCTGCAATCGGTTCTCTCTTGTCTTGTGTTGGCTCTCTTGTTTCAATCTTTTGCTACCCTTCGTTGCAGCCATGGATACAACCACGAAACTGATCCCAATCACCCTAAATTTCCTCTCTTCTCTCGGTCATTTCTCTATAATCCTTTGTTGGGAATTTTTGTTTTCTTTATGGTATCAGAGCGGAAAGATCATTGATCCCGCTGCAATCGGTTCTCTCTTGTCTTGTGTTGGCTCTCTTGTTTCAATCTTTTGCTACCCTTCGTTGCAGCCATGGATACAACCACGAAACTGATCCCAATCACCCTAAACGGTGACAATTTCTTCTATTGGACCAAGGCTGCGACGGCGGCACTAAATAGCAAAGGACTATGGGAGCATATCTCTATCGAAAAGAAGTCTCCTCCTCCACAAGAGGTGGCTGCCGAAGGAGAGACTCAAGAACAGACCCATCAACGTCTTGCACGCAATCGGCAAGCTACGTTGGATTTTACAAAATGGAAGCAAGAAGACAGCCAAGCACTTGTGATTTTGCAAGGCTCGCTGGATCCTCACTTGCTCCCTACGTTTATCACCCATGCCTCGGCTAAGTCTCTTTGGGAGGCTCTTAACAAGGTGTATGGGAATTTATCTAACGTGAGTCGAATTTTCGAACTCAAACGCAAGCTCTCTCATCTTCAGCAACATGATCAGCCACTTAACAAGGTTCAAGGGGAATTTTCTGCGTTATGGGCAGAACTTGAGGAACTGCGACCAACGTCCACAGATCCGACGATAGTCATCCAACGAGCCGAGGATGATAAGGTTTTTTCGTTTCTTTCGACCCTTAATCCTTTGTTTAATGACTCGATCTATCATGTGCTGCGACAGACAAAGTTACCAACGTTTGAGGAGCTTTGTATGTTGCTGAAAAGGGAAGAGGGAGGACGAAATCTTTTTTCGAACCCCCCGGAACTTGCTCATCTTGCTCACAGGCCTTCAACATCGCTCGTTCCATCTAAAGAACGAAAACAATATTTTTGTGAGCATTGTAAGAAGTCCGGGCACTCGATGGAGAGATGTTGGGTGCTTCATCCGCATATGAAACCAACACGTTACAAAGAAAACCCTCGCAAAGGTTCGGCGATGTCGGCTCAACACGAATCAGAGAACATGCTTGGTCTTACAACTGATGAGATGAAGGGTCTCAAACATCTCCTCCAATCTCTCAACAAAGATACCGGTAATCTCTCTCGTTCTCCTTCCATTATTCTTGATTCGGGTGCAACAACCCATATGTTTTGTGATGAATCTTTGTTTGAAAGCTTTTCCCCGAGTCATGGAGTTGTCACGGTTGCCAATGGTAAGAATGTGCCAATAAAAGGCATCGGTAAAGTTAAGGTATTTGACCGAGTTATCTCGGCTCTATATGTACCCGCGTTTCATGCTAATTTGCTCTCCGTCTCTAAATTTATTGAAGAATCTTCTTGTCGTGTTATATTCGACTCTAACGGCGTTACTTTTCAGGATATTGACTCGGGACGTGTCTTTGGAAAAGGATCACGGACGGGAAATCTATTCTATCTAGAAGACAATCACTTTAGCTTTCTTTCTATTTCACCTAGTGTGTGGCATGCCCGTTTAGGCCATCCACATGCTAAGGTTTTTCATTTGCTTATTCCACACGTTAAGACATTTGATACTCATTGCGAGGCGTGTACTTTGGGGAAACACTGTCGTTCGGTCTTTATGGATTCTAGTACTATTTATGAAAATGTGTTTGATTTGGTCCATTCCGATGTTTGGACGGCACCTATTTATTCTCGTGAAAATTTCAAATATTTCGTAACTTTTATTGATGAAAAATCAAAATATACATGGTTGACTCCTTTGAAAACCAAAAAAGACGTTTTCCAAGCCACTAAGAACTTCATCTCCTTTGTTTCTAACCAATTTAATGTCAAGATTAAGTGTCTGCGTACAGATGGAGGAGGAGAGTATACGAGTCATCAATTCCGGGATTTTCTCCTTCAACAAGGTATCGTCCATCAAAAGTCTTGCCCTAACACACCGCAACAAAACGGAGTCGCCGAAAGAAAAAACCGCCACTTAATGGAAGTAGCAAGGACACTACTATTTCATCGTAAGGTTCCGAAAAGATATTGGTGTGATGCGGTTAAAGTAGCTTGTTACCTCATAAATCGGCTACCAACAAGAGTACTGAAGGATCAATCCCCTTTTGAGGTATTACATCACCGTCGTGACTCTCTCGAGCATTTGCGTGTATTCGGTTGTGTTGTTTTTGCTCACATTGATGCAGGCCATCGAACTAAACTAGATCCGAAAAGCAACCGTTGTATCTTCCTCGGTTATCCAGCTAATCAAAAGGGATATATATGTTATCATCCTCCAACAAACCGAGTTTACACTTCCCGCGATGTTATATTTGTCGAAGATATAAGCTACTTCGATGACTGTAATTGGAGGGCAATAGAGAACCTTGTTGCGCAAGGAACAGAAGGACCCGACAGCATTGGACGACTTATCACCACATTTCAACAACTCGGAGTTCACAGCTCACTCTTCCGAACTTCTGCTCCTTCGGAGAATCTCCACGCCGACGGTATTCCTTGCTATCTTCCAAATTCTCTTAATGAAACGTCTGTTACTAACCATGCAGATCCATGCAATACACCACCACTCCTTGGTCCTTCACGTGAGGGGGAAGATGTTGACTTCATACCTATTCATGCTCCTGAAAGAGAGACACGTGTATCAGAGTCAATTACAGATGATGTTTCCTTCATACCTATTGATAATCCTCAAATAGAGACACGTGACAAAGACAATGCTTTTGTCCCTTTGCACATCGATACTTCTCCGACGCATGACGAACACGCGGAAACATCACTCGATGCGGACGTCGAACATGTCCAGCCCACATGCAATCCATCGCTTCGCCGAAGCTCCCGGACACGTAAGCCGACATGGAAGATCAGAGAAACAAACTCCTCTCATCACGTTGCTCACCCTATCGATAAGTTCTCTTCTCTTCAATACTTTCCAACTAACGAACAGAGTTTCTTAAGCATTGTGGAACAGGGAGAGGAGCCTACCTCTTATACTAAGGCTAAAGATATCGATGTTTGGCGGCATGCTATGACAGAAGAACTTGCTGCCCTCGAAAAAAATGGCACTTGGGAGATGACGGATCTACCCCCGGGAAAACAAGCGGTCGGGTGCAAATGGGTATTCAAGATTAAGTATCGCAGTGACGGTACTATTGAACGCCACAAAGCTCGCCTCGTCGCCAAAGGATATACACAAACTTATGGCGATGACTATAACGAGACATTTGCTCCGGTCGCAAAACTTCCCACGGTACGTGTTCTCTTATCTTTAGCCGTTAACCTTGATTGGCAGTTGTGGCAAATGGATGTGAAGAACGCCTTCCTCCAAGGTGATCTTGAAGAAGAGATCTTATGAAACCTCCACCGGGTTATGACGGTTCCATTCGAACGGGCCAAGTGTGTAGGCTTCGTAAAGCGATCTACGGACTCAAACAATTCCCTCGTGCTTGGTATCATCGGCTATATCAAGCCCTCTTGGACAAAGGTTTTTCACGAAGTGACTCCGATCATTCCTTATTTACTCTTACACGGAGCACGGGTATTGTCGTTCTTTTAGTTTATGTGGATGACATAATTATTTCCGGAAATGACTTAGATGGCATACAAGATACAAAGACATATCTAAAAGAAGTTTTCGATATTAAAGACCTTGGGTTACTTAAGTACTTTCTTGGTATAGAAGTTACTCGTACTTCTAATGATTTATTTCTCTCGCAGCGAAAATATATTTTAGACATGTTAACAGAGACAGGAAAAATTGGAGCAAAACCGGTGCGCACACCAATTGAGGAACACTTCAAAGATCAAAGCGAGGGGGAACCATTCCACGATCCGGAGCAATATCGACGCGTCATTGGTAAGTTGATCTATTTAACTATTACGCGACCTGATATTAGCTATGCTGTGCACCAGGTCAGTCAATGGATGCACGCTCCAAGGACGAATCACTGGCATATGGTGGATCGAATTCTCAAATATCTCAAGGGCACTCCGAACAAGGGGATTCGCATGGACCGGAACAAGCATACGGAGCTTGTCGCCTATTGTGATGCGGATTGGGCCGGAGATAGAGTCGATCGCAAATCCACGACGGGCTACTGCACATTCATCGGAGGGAACTTAGTCACATGGAGGAGCAAGAAACAAACAGTGGTGGCACGTTCGAGCGCGAAGGCCGAGTATAGAGCGATGGCAAACACTACATGTGAGGTGTTATGGCTTCGCCAACTCCTTCACGACCTCGGAATAGACACACGGACACCGACACCATTACACTGCGACAACCAAGCGGCCTTACACATCGCCGCTAACTCAGTCTTTCACGAGCGTACCAAACACATCGAGGTGGATTGTCACTTCATTCGAGAGAAGATCACGCATGGTTTCATTGCCCCAACTTACACTCGAAGCCATGATCAATTAGCGGATATCTTAACAAAGGCAACAAGTTCTTTTGTCCTACACAAGTGTCTCTCCAAGATTGGCCTCGTTGAATTTGTCCGGCCAATCTTGAGGGGGAATGTTAGCGGACATGAAGAACGTAGGCAACACGAAGACACGAAGCACTCAGACTCAGCTAGACAAGAAGAGGACGTTGAACACATGCACATGCAATCGGAGGAACAAAAAGGAAAGAAGCCAATCAACCCAAGATAAGGAAAGAAGCAAATATGACATACTAATCTTCCTTATATCAAGCAAGAATATCATGTTTCCATATTGTAAAATTGTATAGCCGTTTAGCATGATTATAGTCTATATAATCTAGGTCAACATGTATATACAGAAGATAGAGAATAAACTATGTGTGGTGTTCTTCCACTTTGAAACATAATTTCCTCTCTTCTCTCGGTCATTTCTCTATAATCCTTTGTTGGGAATTTTTGTTTTCTTTAAATGAGTCTAATAATGAAGGAACGTACACTGATCATCACTCTTTTTCTTCAGCAGAGACAGTGGAATTATCTGAAAGCTAACTTGGGATTCTTTGTCCGTCGAGCTTCCAGATAAATCTGGAACGAAATCGGTGAGAAGCTTGTTTGTAGTGGTATATGAACGGTTTGCCTTGCTGGGGATGAATTATCCATCTTGCTATTTTGGTTGATTGTTGTGTGGGAGTTGCCTTTGCAGATTCATTGATCCAAAAATGAATTGGAATCCGCATTTGGAAGCTCATCACCTTAGCACCAGTTACCCTTACAGTAGCTCCGGTAGCTTCATGGAATATGTCGAAGGGCTAACATACGATCACGTAAACTTCATTTTTGATGGTGCTATGCATATACAGGTAAACTACCGTAATGATTTGTTTATTTTCAGGGTCTTAGAATGTTTCGGTTGTAATCCGTGTGTGCAAGCTTAGTATCAAACCACATATGATTTGACGATCATTGTGTGGTTTCCTCTGGAAAGTTCCTTTTTCTTTGTTTATGCACTCAACTATATTATGTGACTCACAAGTTTAAGCTTTCCGAATTCTAGATGCAAAAAACGAGCTTTTGAATAATTTTGATGTTGGAGAATTTATATGCCATTTGAATGCGTATACCCACTGAATACCAGCTATTACAAGTTTGGGTTGTCTGATCCTGGGAATTTTTCTTATTACAACTATGGACATGTTTATTCATTGAATGACCAACAACCAACTTTTGGTGATCATCAGTCTGCATTTGAGGAATATAAGGAGCCTGTTACAAACCCTTCATCCATGCCTAATGAACCGAGCATAGAGGTCAATATGGGGTTGGGAGGAAATTTGAGTATGACGACTCATGAAAATCATGAAAATCATGGAAATCTGTGTTTAATGCCTCTATTAGGTTGTAGATTAGGGCTACTAATTTTGAATCTTGTTACTGTTATTCTTTTTTTTTTTCCTTTGCCCTGTTTAGGATGATCTAGCCTATTTATGTCTCATGTTTACATAATATGTATTTGGAATTATAAACCTTACTTCTGTTTGTCTTTTTTTGTTTCCCAGGCTTGCGAAGACATGCTAATGGTAATGACTTTCAGGTGCGTGGCTTCTACAGGTTTCTAAGCTTATTGGAGGCTCTATAGACATGTGGAGATGTTAGCCATTTCTTTCTGCATCCCAATCAATATTAGATAAAAAAGAACTTTCTCGAGCAATATCCAATCCAGAATCCTGATCCTTGCTCGCTATCATGCAGGTGGTTTGGCAAGACACCCTCGACCCGGATAACATGACTTATGAGGTAAAATTTGTCCTTGATAATTTCAGTCCATCATTGTCAGACACCGAGATTTAACTCTCGTTTCTATTCTGTTACATGCTTCATTTTTCCCAGCTAATTCCAATATCGGGGACTAAAATTTTTCATGAATGTGTCCAACTTTCAGAAATTGATTTGGATTGTTGGGTCTACTAAATTGTCAGGGACGAAATTCTAACATACATTCATCGCATAGCGGTTTATGATGCTTGAACATTTGATTACTGATATTCTATTTCTTTTTTCTCTATACAGGAATTACTCGAGTTGGGTGAGACGGTTGGAACGCAAAGCCGAGGACTGTCTCAAGACCTTATTTCTCTACTTCCAGTTACAAAATACAAATGCAGTGTATTCACTATTCACGAGGAAGAAATCAGGGAAAGAAAGGTATTTTGGGAGTGTTTTCTCGAGATTCTTTGTATTATCAGCAATTTCAAAACGGTGTTTTAGATCATCATATGTTTTCCGCAGATGCGTGATCTGTCAAATGGAGTATAAACGAAGAGAACGGCTGATAACCCTCCCTTGCAAACACGCCTATCATGTCAGTTGCGGGACCAAATGGCTTAGCATCAACAAGGTAAATACATAAATAAATAAAAATCGCCTCCCGCATTTTTTTTCCCTCAACAACAATTAGGAAGTATATGTTTTCACCCATTTTCCGTTCTCCACAGGCATGCCCGATATGCTACGCAGAGGCCTTTGGTTATACATCGAAAAGTTAAAGGCTACTTTCAAACTCAGCATGCAATCAAATCCGTCTTCACGGTATCAACCATCTTCATACCATTGTGACATTTGGTTGCCGTCTCGCGTTATGCTTCTTTTTGCATCTGGCCTTCATATCCAGAAACAAACCCTGCAAATATTCTCGCGAAAACATTGACCAGTGAGTACGTCCAAGCAAGCCTTTGTGCTTGCTCGAGCTCGGTATAGGTGAAGGGTTTCAAGGAAGGGTATAGATTGTTGAAGAATGGTAAAATTAGGAAGAGCTTGTCTTGCAAATAGAGGGTTTCAATTTGAAATTGGTTTTTTTTTTTACCAAACCAATATGTGAATTGATGAGAACTCAAACCAGGAGGAAATGCATCCACGAGTGATGAGTTCGTGAAATGGAGAATCTCACACAATATAGTAATTAGTAGGTTGACGGTGAGTATAGATAAAGCATTGGATGGTTGGAGTTTTTAAAATCCATAAAGCAAAAAAATTAGCATTCAAATTTTTATAAAATTATTTTTTATAAAAACTTGAAAAACATTTTGATAAAAAAATTTAATGAAAAACCAAAAACTATATTTTTTGGATTTATAAATATTATAAAATCTAAAAACTAAAACCTAAAAACTTAAACTAAAAATTTAAAAGAAAAATCATCCTCGTTCAAAACCCAAATCGATCCATCAAGTCATTGGGGGCAAATCAAACAACCTTCATATCTTCCCCTAATATATATATGACTACGAGTATATGTTTCGGTCTCAACGTAATCCACTTTTACAATCAATTAATCCTTTAATAATAAAATGCATGGTTATATATATATATATAGTTTTGTTTTCTCTAAAAAATTAAACTCTATATGTTCCCTTTCAGTCTATTACTCAAATGTTTCTTTTAAAGTAGTGTGTGATCTTTTATATGGCCTCCTCGTAACATGATCCATACAATATTTTAGGTAAAACGTATGTTAACATCCCAAAAGAAAAACCATCCTTTAACAAAAAAAAAGAAAAAGAAAAACCATACAACAAATGGAATGTGAACAATGTTTGTGTCGAATATCAAAGTCAGGGAATTTCTTTAATAAATAAAAAAGTCAGAGACTTTAAAACAAAATTAAAAAAACAACAAGAAATATTAGTTAGACAGCAAAATAAAAATAGAAATAAAAAAATCAGGGAGAACTGTATGGACCGCTGTTTCGGTCGGAACTTGTCTTCCTTGATCTTCAATTGCCATTGCAATCCTCCGTAGCTTATTCTCTTCGTCGTCATCTCCCTTAATGTTTTCCAAAATTATTCCCTAAAGAAAGAACTAGCAAAGATAACAAATTTTAATAAAATAATGAATCTTTTGTTAATTAATAATAATAAATTTGGGCCCGCTTTTGAGGCATATGCGTTCAAAGATTTTGCTATTAGGTACCGTTATAGAAAAGAAACTTGCTCATGTTTATTCGTCACGTGATCTCACATGAAAAAGTACATAATACTCTCAATACCCTAAGATTAACGGATAAAAAATTTGAACCAAACTAAACAAGAAATGATAATATTTAAATTTAACATAAACGAAACACCGGTTGGATATAATTTTTAAAAAAAACTAAATGAACGCAATTAATATCGAACTCCAAAATATGAAATAACCCGTAAAAACCTGGATGAAAATAAAATTATGTTATTAGAAACCTGAAATACAAAGACACGAAATGTAGAAAAATAAAATGCGGAAATAAAATAAGACAAATGAAAATAAACGGAATTACTTTATTGCTACATCTCTTCTTCTACTTGTCGAATTACAATGAAAATGACTCACATATTTATAGGAAAACTATGAGACAAATAAAAAGGAAATAGAAATAAATAAGATCGATACACAATATTTGATATAATATTATGTCCATTATTATTTCTAATCATATCTTAAAATTAATATTTTCTTTAATCACATATTTATTTTTCTATTTCAACACGAAAGAGTATAAGAAGCGAAACATAACGGAAACTCGTCCCCCCGTACAAGCATAGGTAATCAAGAAACTTCAGATCACTAACCCTTCGTAAGAGTCTGAAGATGTTCTGATGAGAGATTAACTGCTGATATATATGCGAAATATAGGGATGGGTATTTTGGTTCTGGAATTTAGTTCCAAACCAGTTCAAACCGAAATTGAACCAAATCAAATAATATTCAAATTAAATTTGGTACAGTTTTATAGAACTGGATAAACCGTTCTCGAAATTAACCAAGTAAATACAAGTATAGAGCAAAAACTCAAATTATCCACCCTTATTTGCGAACGTATGCGTAAATATCAAGTTTCAATTCTTGTTTGATACTCATATAACGAAATCATTTTAAACCGAACGAATTCACATTTGGTTCTAATTTGGTATAATTTTTGTATAACCAAATAAACCGTTCTAAATCGAACCCTACAAATACCGAACCAAAACCCAAAACGTCCATCCTATGCAGAACAACAAGAGTTATTGCATATGTTTAGCACGATAGATCAACAAAGATCTCAAAAAACAATATTCCCAACGCTTAAGAAAAGAAGATTTAGAGAGATTAAAAAAAATGTCGAATTCATTGGTAATTTACATTCCAATGGCAGATCCCTGTACGGTAAAAACCATCAAAATCCGGAGAGAGAAAAAAAATTCCAAGAAAGAGAACTAAAAACAAATAAAACCTCTAAAAAGGTCTAGATATCAATCAAATGACCTTGGACCTGGGAACATGAGATCATGACAAATCTTGATCTGTAACACCTTTGGAGAGCTCACTATGAGTTGTTTTCCAGTTCTGTGTCGGGTTCGAACCGCTCCTTGGAGCCCTTCTAAGGCTTCTCTTCACAGTCTTGCTCAGAACTCCGGGCAAAATTCTCGGGTTTCTTGTGGAGGAAGTAACCGCATACGCTGAGACCAGCAGCCTCCGACTCCGATTCCGATTCAGGTTTTCACCTTCCATATTTGTCTCGGAACGAAGAGGGCTGGCTGTTGAGAACACCGTCAGAAGCAACACAAAGAGTAGATTCAAGACTCCGATTCTTGTTTTCATGGTTCTTTCCTGCTGTGCTTGTTGAGAAGAAACTTTGAAGTGCTTATTACTATTTCCTTTCTTTCGAAAACAAAAACAACACTTACTTTCTTATATACACACATACATACATACATACATACATACATACATACATACATACATACATACATACATACATACATACATACATACATACATACATACATACATACATACATACATACATACATACATACATACATACATACATACATACATACATACATACATACATACATACATACATACATACATACATACATACATACATACATACATACATACATACATACATACTTGAGATTTTGTCGTTTGGTGTGCTCATGCTTTTGACCCTCTTGATCTGCAACACTTTCAAAGCAAGAAATAATCGTCATTCGAAAAGTGGAGATATTACTATAAATTAATAAAATTACAAATAAGGAAATAAATGCAAAAAGGTGAAAAACACTATATTTACAGGGAACAAAAATGTGGGGAAATTTGAAATCGCGTCGGCCTGCGCATTGTTTTTATTTATTTCCGGGATTCCAAATATTATTTCGATATCTATTTTCTATGGAAGTTCCGATTTATTATCTAAATGTTAATAAAATGTTCACGAATATTATTTTAATAATTTGTTAAAAGAATCTAAAAACATGTAACCAACCTATAATACAAACGATATTAAGATAAGGTGCACAATATTTTTGTTTTGGGGTGGCAGCAAAATTTGACTTGAGCTGTTTCAGTCTACATGTTCTTCCCCGCATCGTCACATTGATACACTTATATTTGTAAATTATATGTAAATATTTTTCCCAATCTTAATTAAATTATGATTTTTTAGCAGCCGTAAGCAGGCGGGAGGTCATGTGATTTTTGTATCAATTTTTATGTGCATAATTAAATAATTTGTCTGACCAATCTCTGAATCTTTCAAATAATTTTTCACCGGTCCTCATGTGACCCAATCACATGAGAAACCAATCAAAATCGCTTTTTTATATTTTGTATCATCTTTTGTACTTTTCACTTAACCTTGATGACAGCTAAGTTTTGCCGTTTATGAGATTCAATCTCTTTAAAATCGCTTCAGTTTTTACTATTTATTAATCACTAGGGATGATTAGCAGTATTTCTTAATGATATAATATTATATTCAGTTTATATTTCACTTTCCAAGAAAATTTTGAAATATTGTCTTTTTTACAAAGATAATATTTTTTTAATTATCCTATTTTATTCAATTTGAAAATTTATTAAAAAAATCGAAGTAGAAGTGTGTTTTGAATCGATTTAGTTGTCTTCGTGGTACTTGTAGTGTACTCCGTTACCCTCGGAACGGAATTCAAGTGTATATATTGTTGCTTTGGCTATCTTTCATTATTTAAATATCAAATCACAATTAAGTAAAATTCGAAAAAAAATATCCAATTTGGCCAAATGTGTCATAGATATATAATCACCTCAATTTTCATTTTGTCAAATGTGGGCCCCCTATTTTTTTCTGTATATGAAAGAGGAAGTGTCCCTCAAAAACATTCTGTATTCGGTTAAAAAATGATTCGATTCATTTTCTTCCGTTTTATAAAAATATAAACTATTAGATTATTATCACACATTCGATTCGATTTTGAATTATTCATTTTTCTAAAAAGAACACTGTTCAAAATTTTTAAATAATTTGGTTAAAAAAATACTGTATTTTTTGGTTGGGTATGGTTCTGATCACCCCTAGTTATAGTTACTCGTCTAAACAAAACATCGATTTTTTCTATAGATCAAACTAATGAATTAAATAAATGTGAAATCCAAATTCGTGTCGTCATGTACTACTCAGCAAATGTGAACTCCAAACACGTCACATGATGAGACTTCTCTCGACCAAACCCTGTCTCTAATATGGACCAAAAAAAATTCATCTTTCTTTAAAAAAACATTAATTTTTTTTTGTAGGAAATTCATATATAAACTATGTAAAAATACATTATTATTTTTCATTTACGAAATAGATGTACGATATTTTCGGGAAAATGACAAATAAACCGATTTTCAAAATTGTGCCAAATTAGTCCACAATTGATCACACTGTTAAATGATACAGTTACAGAAAGCCTTTAACTGAGTTAGAGGCTTCTGGTTCAATGCCGGTTTGGCTAAAGCAGGGAGAATTGCGGCATAAAGAGAAATAAGAATACTTGAAACTTCATTGAAATTTCAACAGATTCAACACTGTGAAACACATATGTGTATGTATATGCGCATATGTACCCATACATGCATGTGTATATATGTAAATGTATCTATATGTACAAATGAGATCCTGATGTTATTCGATTCCGTTCGGTTTTGGTTCGGGCATGATCAGAACTAAATTCCCCAAGTCTGGCCGGCTTATCTCTTCGTTCACCGTATAGGGAAATGAAGTTAGATTCTGAAAACAGGCAAGTAAATGAATAAGAACACCCTGTCGATGAGAAATCAAGAAATTCCGACAAGCCAACAGGCAAAGATGCATATCATGACGAAGAAACTTGTCCAGGAGGTCACAATTAACCTCGATAGGTTGAGAAAAAAAGTTGGTGTATTTTTCTAAAGTTACTGAATTGATGATTTTGTTTAATCTGACTTGCGTGTATTTCTTCATAGTTAGATGTGTGTATGTGTGTATATTGGCATGTAATATTTGTACGCACAGATTCCTTTTGTTATTACTTGATCTGCAGTAAGAACGCAGTGCCGAATTTTATGTCGTTTTTCTTTTTTCTGGTTGTTTCCCGAGAAAATACACCAAAAAAAAAATGAAAGAAAAGGAAACAGAAAGCACCCATCTCTCGGAAATCGGAAATTCACCAATTCAACCATTTTACAGAGTCAATATAGCCCTTCCATGGAAAGTGACTACGTATCCGTTCTCCTTCTCCGCCTGTGTTGTAATCTAATCTCTCTCTTTACTTTATCTTCGGAATTTTTTTTATCCACAATCCCGATTTTATCTCATTTTCCCTTTCACGTGATTCTATAGACATTTGTTAAATCCTCGGACTCCGACGCCTATATATAGTTGCCTCGCTTGTATTTGCTCACTTACACAGTGTTCTTGTGACTGCGACTGTGACTGAGGCTTCTTCATCTTGAATTGTGTGTGTTTCTTTCTGGGTTTTGCATTCTCTTGAACTTCTTTTCCTTTTCTTCTTCTTTTTTTTTTTTTTGGTTCTTCAATCAATTCTGAGTTCAGGGGTTTGTGTGTTCTTGTCGGTTTCCCTTGAATTGCTTTACCTTTGTGGTCTGAATCTGGGTTTTGGGTTCAGGGTTTCTGTTAAAATTTTCCAGAGGGTATGTTTTGAATTGGAATTCGGCTTTGAAAATTTCCTCAGTTCTTGGGTTTGGCAAACCATAAACATTTCTTCTGTCCCAAGAAAAAACAAATAGTAGAAGAATGAAGAAGAGGCTGTGGCCTTCAGTGCTGGTTGCTCTGTTGTCCGTATGCGGACTCACCCTCGCAAAAGAGTGCACGAACTATCCGACGCAGCTCTCGTCGCATAGTTTCCGCTACGATCTCTTGAATTCGAACAACGAAACGCTGAAGAAGGAGATGTTTTCTCATTATCATTTGACTCCGACCGATGAAACTGCTTGGACAAGTTTGCTCCCAAGAAAGATGCTGAGAGGAGAAGATGATGACGAATATGGTTGGACTATGATGTATAAGAACCTTAAGAACCGGGGAAGGTTCGGAGCCAACTTCTCGGGGAATTTCCTCAAGGAAGTTTCTCTGCACGATGTTAGGCTGGACCCAAACTCCGTCCACTGGAGCGCGCAACAGACGAATCTCGAGTATCTCTTGATGTTTGACATTGATAAATTAGCTTGGAGCTTTAGAAAGACTGCTCATCTCAATACTCCGGGAGACTCCTACACTGGTTGGGAACAACCGAATAGCGAGCTCCGTGGCCATTTCATCGGTATAATCTTCTTCAACATCCTTTAATCCTTGTTTTTTCGGGCGAAATGCCCGGTATTTGATTTGCATAGAGACAGCATTAGCGGTTAATGATATGAAACTTGACTCTTGTTTTGGTGAAGGCCACTATTTGAGTGCAACAGCTTATATGTGGGCAAGCACTCACAATGACACTCTCAAGGAGAAAATGACATCTCTCGTCTCCGCTCTCTCAGAATGCCAACAGAAAATGGGCACCGGGTATCTCTCTGCTTTCCCTA